AATTGGATTAATTATAGCTGGTAGTATGGTGGTTGATTATAGCTGGTAGTGTGGTGGTTGATTATAGCTGGTAGTATGGTGGTTGATTATAGCTGGTAGTGTGGTGGTTGATTATAGCTGGTAGTGTTGTGGTTGATTATAGCTGGTAGTGTGGTGGTTGATTATAGCTGGTAGTGTGGTGGTTGATTATAGCTGGTAGTGTGGTGGTTGATTATAGCTGGTAGTGTGGTGGTTGATTATAGCTGGTAGTGTGGTGGTTGATTATAGCTGGTAGTGTGGTGGTTGATTATAGCTGGTAGTGTGGTGGTTGATTATAGCTGGTAGTGTGGTGGTTGATTATAGCTGGTAGTGTGGTGGTTGATTATAGCTGGTAGTGTGGTAGTTGATTATAGCTGGTAGTGTGGTGGTTGATTATAGCTGGTAGTGTGGTGGTTGATTATAACTGGTAGTGTGGTGGTTGATTATAGCTGGTAGTGTGGTGGTTGATTATAGCTGGTAGTGTGGTGGTTCATTATAGCTGGTAGTGTTGTGGTTGGTAACATCAGAGACACAACCATTGTATTTATCAATTGTGTAAAAATAATGATTAATTTACCTTTGAAAAAACAACAACAACTATTGATTATTGATTTATTTCACACATAATGAGGGTTGTTTAGTGACGTGGAGAGAGTAATTAAGATCATTATTGGGAAGAGAGATAATGGGAATAATAATGACGATGATAATGACATCTATCTTATAATGAGAGAAGGAATAGTTGAGTGTGTGTGTGTGTGTGTGTGTGTGTGTGTGTGTGTGAATAAAGGTTGACGAATTTAATATTAAGATTGTATCGTTCATGAACTTAAAATCACAAATAATTACTGAACTACCAAATGTCGTGAAGGATCCTAAATCACCTCATTAGGACCAGCGTTAATGACCAACTAATAATAATTAAACCTCTTCTGCTTTTCTCTGTAACCTTTAACGAGACTCACGAATCCGAAGCATTTATGGACAGAATAATGTATCAGTCTACTGCTTCGGGTTCACGAGTCTGAATCTCTCGGGGGGTTCGTGGTTCAGCAGGAGAGTTGAACGGACTTAACAACATACTCGTAATTCTTCTCTTATAGTACAGTCTAGTTTATCATAATAGAGGAGGATCGATAATAAACTTGAGGTGTCATTATAGTGTTTAGACCGTCAAGTAGTTAGACCGTGGATTCAACGAGGTGGTTTGTGTATTTAACTAATAGAATCATTCCTTTAAAGTGACGTCGTGTAAAATTAACCAGTGTTCAGATTAACTTTTGTCGAAGAGAAAGAACTGAATTATTATCGTTTTATATTTTCCTTCTCATTCTTAGGTGATAAAACACGCACGCACCCGCCCACCCTGGTACTGACCCACCCACAATCCCACCCACCCACCCACTCAAGCACGCCCATCCGTGACACCTGGCCCACCTGTGTCTCCGGCTATTCACCAGACCCGAGAGTTGTCATTGCCAGGCTGTAATTATCGGCGTTCTCTCATCTCCGTCCAAGAGGCAGCCGTTCCTCACGTCTCAGGAACACCTATTTTGAGTTTGTGTTCACCCTAAAGTCGGCAATTATGGCTGTTAACGCCGCCAGACACACGGTTCGTTCCTTCCTCTCTGAACATTGGAAAGATAGCCAACATAGGTGTCAGTCGTATCAATAAAAGGTTTACAGCGATATATTTAATTTTAGGCTATTAAAGATGTTACATGTGTACAGAGGAATGTTGAATGTAGTGTAGTGATGTTAAGAGATGTTCAATATATCTTTAGCATTGATTCTCGGACAGTAGTGACTCATGGTGCTGTGCTTCATAGTCTATCAGTCAGTGGTATTTTTTTAATATTTTCTTTCTTGCTGAACTACTTTCTGACACGACTGTTTGTGACGCCGACTGTCGTTTAGTATTCACATCTAAATCATCTGTCGCCTGTAATATTTGATCCAATTCCCTGAACTCACTATGCATTCAACCATCTCTTGTACACACACACACACACACACACACACACACACACACACACACACACACACACGTCTTATTTTAAGGAATAAGTGACCGTGTATCAGAATGGCGAACGTTCATCAAAAAAATCATATTTCATTTTGTTAATTCATACGTAGAATGTGAGAGATACAGGAAATACAGAATAATTCATAACACGTGTAAATTTTTCATCAGTGTGTGTGTGTGTGTGTGTGTATAGTGTGTGTTGAAGCTGTGATGTTCAACACAAATTTGGTTAGCCTGAACGTAATTGAATTGTTTTATACAGTAATATGTTTTTTTTTTTTTTCAACCTTGCCAACGCGACCAACTTCCACCAAAAAAATAACCACAATAATACGACCACCTCCTACCACCACCACACGACTTATTTTCACCACCACACTACCCCCAACCACCACCAGACGACTCCTTTCCACCACCTCCACACGACCTCTTCCCACCACCACACGGCCCTCTCCCACCACAAGAAGACCTCCTCCCACCACCACACGACCCCCTACCACCCCTCACCACACGATGACTAGGCAGTAGCACACCCCCAGCCGCCATTCAGTGTACACACCAAAGCAGTGTATTGGATTAGAGCGCTAAGACCCCGGTGTCCTGTAATCTTGTCTGGGAACTGTAGTGACCTCCTCTCGGGATGGAAGAACAGCCCCACGTTATTTCAGAGTCGATGGAATTGGTGGTATTTCGTTAAATATATCGTTAAATATATCGTTAAATATTATCGTTAAATATGGCACAAAATGTAGTGCCAATTCAGAGGACATTTGTGTCAGGTTAACGGGGACAAATTGGCCATGAAAGTGGTGATCAGGAGGTGGTTGGTGGTGTAGTAAATAGCGGGAAGAAACATCTTTTAATAATAGAAGAGTTTAGTTAATACATCTATGTTTTAATTGGTGTATTAAGAGAAAAATAAGTTGTAGTCTATTTCTGGCTAATTGTGATAACCTGAAGAGGAGTTTCTTAAATAACTAATTTTGTTAAGTTTTGGGGAAATTATATTATAGAAGAAAATTATCAGCTAATTCTATTAAAAATATATTAGGTTTGGAGAGGGGAATAAAGTTGTAATCCACAGGTCACATTAGAGGCTTTGTGGTCAGGTCGGGTCAGATCAGGTCATAAGCTGTACTTGACTCGGACCTGTCTCACTCAGCCAAAGTTGAGCACCAATAAGCAAAACCAAACTGCCTTCGTCCAGCCAATCTTAAAAAAAGCTTCTTGACTCTAATGAACGAAGAATAAGATTTACAACTTTAATCAAAATTTAATCAGAATTAGGTTGTGATCAGAGCCTTAATAACGGTGTGCAGAGAATCAACATTATAATCAAATTCTAACAAACTTAATTCACCTTACTTAATAATGCTAAACTTTTCACAGAATCAAATTATAATCAAATTCTAGCAACACCAAGTCAAATATTTTATCATAATTAATTAGAAGAATATTCCCGTAATATGAATCCATCTTACATGATAAAAAAAGTCGAAAACAGAAAGATTAAAAATTTCTTAAATAAAATATAAAAGCATTAGAATCCATTTAACGTAACATGTAATTAGATTTAGATTTTTAGATATTTATTAAAGTTCTAGGAGGCGTTTTATTTTATCTTAGGTAAATATGAAAGATAAAGTTATTATAGAAATTGACGAGAGGCTCTGGCAGTTCTTCCGTGGGTAAAGGAATGGAGAGAATTTTGGAGGGAAGGGGAGAGAGTTTTGGAGGTAAGGGGAGAGAGTTTTGGAGGGAAGGATATAATTTTGGAGGTCAGGGGAGAATTTGGGAGTGAAGGAGACATGTCTGGAGGGAAGCAACAATAAATGTGGTAATCATATTGTAAAAGTTGCTGTCTAGTGTATAAGCCCCTCAGGCGTCTAAATATGGAGACAGGACAGAACTGACGGCTCCCACAGCTGGTCTCATCGTTATTCCGGGGGTAAATTCGGTATGTGAGTCAGACACTAGTGTATGTATGAATGAAAAGATGATTTGCCAGCCCTGTAAGTGGTTTACCCGTGTGTGTGTGTGTGTGTGTGGCGTCCAGGCAACCTTCCTACACGACACGAGACTAGACCCGACACGACACGACACGACCCGACCCGACACGAGACTAGACCCGACACGAGACTAGACCCGACACGACACGACCCGAGACTAGACCCGACACGACCCTACACGACCCGACACACGACACGAGACTAGACCTGACACGACCGACACTACCCGGCCTGAGACTAGACCCGACACGACCCTACCGACACACGACACGACACGAGACAGACCGACACGACCTGACGACACGAGACTAGACCCGGACACGACCCGACACGACCCGACACAAGACTAGACCCGACACGACCCGATACGAGACTAGACCCGACACGACCCGACACGAGACTAGACCCGACACGACACGACTACTGAACACCAAGAGAGTGAGGCAGAGAGACAGTCCGGATTCTCAGGTGATCGTAAAGATAATTTTCCACCCTAAGTGTTAATTTAACCTTGAGCACAAATGGTACCATTCTACCGCCGACATTACGTTGAATCTTTACTATAATTATTGGCGTTACCTCAGGCCTAATTACTGTACGTTAAGGGAATAAGAAATATAAATTATGTACAGTGAGTAATTAACTCTACCGGGGAGGACATTTACACAACACAGGTAAATATTAGGGTAGGTACCACGCCTACAGTCTACGCCCACTTAAGTTGAGGCACGCCCACATGACCTAGGCCACGCCCACCGAGTTGAACTACGTCTACATTACTTAAATTACACCCACATTAACTACGTCTCTCTTGACCTTAACTACGTCCACATGACCTTACCCAGACCCTGACCACGCCCCTATGACCTCAGCTACGCCCACTGTGACCACCGCCACGCCAAATATGACCTAGGTCACGCCCATTAAGGTCAGTCTCCCTCCCACAGGTTCGCGTTGATCTACGAGCAGCCAGATGATTGGCGGCTCAGGATTCGTTACGTCCAGCACCGTGATGAAGGCACCTACCAGTGCCAGGTGGCCACCCATCCCCCCCTCATACGGACCATTCACCTGCAGGTAGTAGGTGAGTCTCTCTCTCTCTCGTTGTTGTTTGTATGTCAATTTATATTCACAGATAGATATAAAACTAGAGAGGAAATATAGTGTTGTATTGTGTTTTATGACAGAGTAAGTCAGTGTGAGTGTGTGTGTGTGTGTGTGTGTGCGTCTTCTCCCAGTCACTCACTTTTCTTCCCTACAACACTCACTTCAACACCGCCGACAATGGTACAGCTTTAAAACGAATTTTAATTAAAACTAAATGAGATTTTAGGTAAAATCTTAATATAACTGTAGTCATTAGTGAGTATTTATTCCACCAATTTAAAGTTTTAATGGCGGTGGCAGCAGTGTGGGTCATTAACACGTTGCTGCTGCTCTACACTGCCAGGTTTATGACCAGCACCACTACCTTGCTTCACTGAAGACTGCTTGCAATTTTTTTTTCTTTCCAAGTTACAGGTTTCATATATCCGCATGTGGAAGAGATCGGGGTTTTGTAATGATTCTCTCTCTCTCTCAGTATTAGTGGTGGCTTTTGTCTCTTTCCTCTCTTATTCTCTTGTTATGTTCTCTTCATTCTCTTCTCTATCACATATATCTCTTTTATCTGTCTTTGTCCGTCTACCGTTCGTCGTTTGGTTCAATAATCACTACAGTGTTTTGGTGTTTCTTTTTATAATTGGTTACCTGTCTCTCTTCCTCATTAGTGCCCTGTCTCTGTTCCTCATTATTTACCTGTGTAGTATCATATTAAGCTCTATCAGTGTTTATTAGAACCATTAAGTCATAGAAGGGAAAAAGATTCTTCACGCAAAACTGGGATCATTATTCTTGAACTCTGGTAGATATTGTGTTCTTCTGCCATTTTGTTTTTATTTATTTGTATGTGTGTGTGTGTGTGTGTGTGTGTGTGTGTGTGTGTCTGTGTGTGTATGTCCCTCTTCTAGCCGTCAGTATTACCACAACCAACAATAATTCTCAGCCATAAAGGTGTAAACAAAATGATCTGCACCAAAAGTCAACACCTGGTCCAGCCAACACTCAGGTACCATCCACCTTAATGACATCTTTCCCAGGTGTAATCTGACGTGAGCTTTATGGAGTATCTTAGAGTTCTATGAATCCAGCAAATCTGACCTAAGTCGTAAAGCGGAGTCTGATGGAGGCTATTTGAATGTTAACGTCACCTTATGATATACCTTGGCTCTCAGGCGTAACGTGAAAAATACAACACTGATGAGGTGTTGACGAGGTGGATTAGCAGGGAGTCGATGTGTGTGTGTGTGTGTGTGTGTGTTGGCGGCAGCTCGCCCTTTGAAACTTTACTCTCTCGTGTAGATCAACACTGCCTTCCTCCTGTCAATATTGTTCTATGTTTTATTGTGAGCTCTTTCTGCTCTCAACTAAATTGTTTTGTGTTTTGTTATGTTGTGGTCTGAGGGTGTGTGTGTGTGTGTGTGTGTGTGTGTGTGTGTGTGTGTGTGTGTGTGTGTGTGTGTGTGTGTCCTACGAGGTTTAACAATATGTTGTATTACTTCATATTTAGTTCTTATAATCAAATAAATCATTAATATAAACACAACAACAACAAGTAATAATAATAATAGTAATAATAAAGAATAAGAATAAGATTAAGAATAATAATAATACGACAAACACTACATACTAAATGACTCAATTCACCTTCATCTCTCAACACACTTTACCTCTCAATCGTAGGCAGCAAAACACAGTCCCAACTCTTCATAAACTGCACCATGAAGCATTTTTCCTCAACAATTATATACTTCCTCTCCTGAGCTCAGCGATACCCGGGACACCTGACCTGATATTACTGATACTTTGAGTATAAAAAGTTGGCTGTAAAGGTCAAGGTGTAAGAAACTATCTCGACGCAGTGAAGGTATTTTCTTATCCCTGGAGAGTGAGGTCATATAGCCGTGACAGGTGATTGGCTGCAGGTAAGACACAGACCTCTAATCAATTAACTGGAGTGGCTATAACTGTTCCTTCTTTAACTCAGAGGTGAGATTATAACAGGGTTGGTGTTCTTTGACGCCTTGTGAGATGAAGTTCAATATGTCACTGGGGTCGAGTTATTACCACTGAGTTTGTATTGTCGTAAAGAATCGTGAATTATTATTTATGACTCTGTGATTGCGTGTCCTGTGCGACTTATGACTCGTCCAGGAATAGATAAATTACAGCCATGAACCTGGAATTTGTACTATAAAAAAGCCTATATATTATCTTAGGAATGTGATAAAGGAAATTATATGTCTGTTGAAACCTACAATATTTTCTAAAGAACATAGATAAAATAAAGCAATGAATGGTTATTGGAACTACATGATGTTAACAAACGGAAAACTCTTGAAGACGCGTTAAAAGACCCAGACACATCTAGTCATTACACACATGACTACTTTTAGAGTTATTAAGTAGAGTTACCGGCAAACATGATTACTACTTTTAGAGTTATTAAGTAGAGTTACCGGCAAACATGACTACTACTTTTAGAGTTATTAAGTAGAGTTACCGGCAAACATGACTACTACTTTTAGAGTTATTAAGTAGAGTTACCGGCAAACATGACTACTACTTTTAGAGTTATTAAGTAGAGTTACCGGCAAACATGACTACTACTTTTAGAGTTATTAAGTAGAGTTACCGTCAAACATGATTACTACTTTTAGAGTTATTAAGTAGAGTTACCGTCAAACATGACTACTACTTTTAGAGTTATTAAGTAGAGTTAGAAGCAGCGATTTGTATGCAGACTGAAACCCCGTAAAGTATCCGTCTATACAAGTCATTCAGGAGAGTTAAAGGGCCCTGGATTTATGGGTATAGCTCTGGGTATGTGAGAGGGCGTCAGGGGGGCGGGTAAATAGTGTTGACGGGGTAGCCAGCACCTCATTACCCTGGCAGTATTACTCTCGTATATCTCGTCTAGTTGTCATGCCCGAGCCAGAGTTATGGCTCCTCCTTCTCTTCCTCATCTTCCTCCTCCATCTCTTCCTCCTCCCCCTTCTCTTACTCCTTTTCTCCCTTCCTCTCATTCTCTTTCTTTTCCTCCTAATTTTCCCTTATTTCTCCTCCCCCTTCTCTCCCCTTCCTCCTCTGTGTTCTTCTACTTCTATTCATCGTTCCTCTTCCCCCCCTTCTACTCTCCTCCTCCTCCTCCTCCCCTTTCTCCTCTCACCCCTTCCTCCCTCCTTCTCCTCACGCTTCACTTCCATCTTCTACAACCTCCCAGACATTCTTTTCCTCCTTTTATTACCTTTTTACTCCCCTCCCACCCCCTCCCCCCTTCGTCTTGGGAGAAGTTGTTGAGGTCAGCCCGTGTGTCAGTCAGAGAGCGAACCATTTGTCAAGAGTCCCGGTGACCCGTCTTGGTGAGCTCACACATTTCTGATCCTTAGGTCAATTCACTCTTTATTTTATCTAACCTTAACCTAACCTAACCTAACCTAACCTAACCTAAACCTAACCTGACCTAACCTAACCTTGAGCCTCTATCATAGTACCCTGTAGTAGTGCCGTGTTACCTAAAGACGTCTCTGGCTCAGTCATGTCCTGTGTCCGTCTCTACAACACACTGACGTTACCAGCCAGTAGTAACACAGGCGCCTCCTCCTCACACACCAGTCTCCTCTTATATAACCAAAGATGTTTTTTTCTAATGTTTATTTCTTAGTAACAACTATTAACTACCTTAGAATACGTGTTTAAAACCCCATATAGCTGTTAATGCTCGGTAACACACACACACAGTTCAGAGCCAAACATGATGGAACACGTGAAGACAAAGGTTCATAAACACCCGGGAAGTTCATGGGGTAAGTTTGCTAAACGTTTCTACAACATCTAGGTAATATAAACAGAGTTATAACACAATTACCTCACATAACCAAACAGCGGCAGACATACGAACATTCAACATTTAAACAAAAAGCCAAGAATACCCACCACATATTTACTCAACTTAAACACACAGCGGTGCGCATACATAATTGATAGTTATTATATATTTACCTTACATATAATGGTTACCCCTCACGTTGGAGGCTGGCCACCCAGGCGTGAGTTTGTTTAAGGTGTAGAAGCTGTCACCAACACAACACCAACACCTAAGTTAATGATCTGTATGACCCAGTATGAAGGAATGATCAGAGAAGACCGGACAACTCGCCAACTGCACTGGCTAGCCATTAATCCGGAACACGATCTGTTATATGATTAACATCCAGGTTCCCAAATGGAGTAAAGAAACTTGCCTACAATTTCAGCCTTCCCGGGGATCGACCCTAGGAAGACTTATTTGTGGGATGAGCATAATGACCACTACACCACAGGTCGCCATAAACACAAGGACAGTCATGAAGTAAAAATATATAGAGTTATCACATATTTGGTCAACACAAACACTCAAGGAGAGAAATTACCAAACACACATGGCAGACAGACACTCATATAACATCAAAAAAGACAGACATTCTTCACATAATATTTAACTGCATAAGTACACATGGACACACACACATATCATTATTCATACAATGCATATGAATACGAAATCATGAGAAGATAGTGTGTGTATACATGTGTGTGTGTGTGTGTGTGTGTGTGTGTGTATGTACTTACAAGCAAGTATACATGTAAACATACGTAGGGTCATGCACTGAGGTTAAATGCAAATCTGGAAAATTGGAAGATGGGAACAATGCATAGGATTAAAATACCTAAGGACGGCCCCTCCAGCTCACAGGGGCAAACATCAACAACGTTTACCCTGGAAAAGAAAACGGCGGTGGAGGAAAGTGGTGAAGAGAAGGGAGAGGAGGAGGAGGAGGAAGGGGGAGGAGGAGGGAGGAGAGGAGGAGGGGAGGAGGGGGAGGGGAGGAAGAGGAGGATGGGGAGGAAGAGGAGGGGGGAGGAGGAGGAAGAGAAGGGGGAGGAGAAGGGGGAGGAGGAGGAGGAGGAGGATCAGTAAAAAGGTGAAGAAAGAGGATGAGAATG